AGTCGTCGTAGGGAAATCCGCGGGGGATTTAAATATCCCCCGCGGCATTTAAATAAAAATGTCCGCCGCTTTTTTCCGGCTTTGAAGTAAGAATAAGAGCCTCCGGAAAAGGGCACTTTTTCCGGAGGATCGGGGCCAGTCTAGACGCTCTTTTCCGGCTTTTTTAAAAGCCAGAAAAAAGCGGAGGACATTTTTATTTAAATGCCGCGGGGGATATTTAAATCCCCCGCGGATTTCCCTACGACGACTGCTGAAATTTACATGCCCCTTCCGGAAGAGGGGCCAGTGTAGACGTAGCCTTGTTGTTGGGGAAATGGCTGGACAATTGACTATACTTACCATTGGGGAAAGTGGCGGACTAGGAGCTCAACTCCCCTGGGAGGGGGGAACACAATCAGTGAGACATGTTGGGGATAGCCACAAAGAGGAGTACACTGTGGTTCCAGAGATTGTGAAAGGGGCTGTAGAGAGCTGGCAGAGATTGAGTCATGGGGTACAGACCATGGCGGTGGGTATCAGCCTTGAGCTAATCCCCTGGACTGCCAACAGGAAGTGTCAGCCAGCTGGTGAATGATGCACACTGTGATGGGTGAATATGGCAGCAAGAAAACAGGAGCATGCAAAGCAAAGCACCCTGCAGACCTTCCTTTCTTGCTGTCCCTCTTTAGTCCTTCAATTTATAAGTTACATTTTTTTCCACTTTCACTGAATGTCAAATTGGTGTATGTTATACTACTTTCTACAGACATACTCTTCTGAGTGCTTATATCACCAAATACCATCCTTACTTTTTTGTCTGTACCTTATTTGTACATGCCAGATGCCAATGATGTTTATGTTCAACTCCTGAAGTAAACTGAAAGGTACTGGGAGGACAAGGGGAATGTATCCCTATTGATTTTCTTGGATCTCTCAGTGGCTTTTGATCCCATCTACCACGGTATCCTTCTGGAGTGTCTGGCGGAGCTGGGTATTGGCGGCACTGTTTTGCAGCGGTTCCGGTCTTACCTGTCAGGACGCTTTCAGAAGATGGAGTTAGGGGGCTGCTGCTCAACTCTGTGGTGATTGTGCTATGAGGTCCCGCAAGGTTCCATCTTGTCCCCTATGTTGGTTAACATCTATATAAAGCCTCTGGGAGAGGTCATAAGGAGTATTGGAGGACGGTGCCATCAATATGCAGATGACACCCAACTATTTCTCTGTGACATCAGACCCAGACATGGGCGGCAGGTTTGTATAATTTTTGTTGGTGCCCCATTAGCCATGCCCCCTGCTTTCCCCCCCTTCCCCCGCCGTTAGCCATGCCTCTGGAGGTAACACGCTCGGGGCAAGATGGACACATGACCAGAAGTAAAAGGTATCATGTCACCCCTCTAAAAGGGCTTTTCCCACCATCCTCCTACCAACAGGGATTAGTTTGGCCCCCACCAAACCCCCCTCATGCAACTATCCTGCAGTTGTATTAACCCAATGGCTGTGTCTAGACTGGCAAGTTTTTCTGCAAAAGCAGCTGCTTTTGCGGAAAAACTTGCCAGCTGTCTACACTGGCCACTTGAATTTCCGCAAGAACACTGACAATCTCATGTAAGAAATCAATGCTTCTTGCGGAAATACTATGCTGGTCCCGTTCAGGCAAAAGTCCTTTTGCGCAAAAGGGCCAGTGTATAAAGCTCAGATTTGTTTTGCGCAAAAAAGCCCCAAACGCGAAAATGGCAATCAAGGATTTTTTGCGCAAAAGCGCGTCTAGATTGGCACGGACGCTTTTCCGCAAAAAGTGCCAAAACTTTTCCGTTAAAAGCATTTGTGGAAAATCATGCCAGTCTAGACGTAGCCAATGTGTGTGACATTAACTTGGGGGCATAGAGGCTGGGGGAAGTGTTTCCTCTAAGGCTATGTCTACACTCGCGGCTTCTTGCGCAAGTACAGCCATTCTTGTGCAAGAACCCACAGAGCATCCACACTGCCTACCTGCTCTTGCGCAAGGAAATTTACAATACAGCATGGTAAGAGGGTGTCTTGCACAAGAGCTATGCTCTTTTCTAACAGGTGTAAGCGCTCTTGCACAAGAGGGTAGTGTGGATGCTTGGCACGGATTTCTTGCGCAAGAAACACCTATGGCCATTGGAATTTTCTTGGGCAAGAGAGCGTCCACACTGCCATGGATGCTCTTGTGCAAAAGCACAGCTCGCACATGGCAGTGTGGACATGTTCTTGTGCAAGAAACTGCCAATGTAGACATAGCCTAAGAGTTTCCCCCCGTGAGCAGAATGAATTTTGTGTTGTGCACCAGTACTGAGTTCACGTGGCTTGTTTGGATGTGCCACTCAAGTTAATACATATTTTTAAACCTTTATCTTTTCTCTCTGCTGCCATGTCTCCTCCCCTTGTTCCAACAGCTCCCCTGGTGCCTGCTGCCCCCCAACTCCTCACCCTCCTCTGCTGTCCTGACTCCTTCCCTTCTCCCTGCCCTCAGTCTTCCTGCAACCTGCCCCCCCCATCAGCCCTTCTCTCCTCCTTGTGCCCACTCCTCCAGTAGCCCCACTCTGCTCATGCAAGCTACACCTCCTCATCCCCTCTCCTAAAACCTCCCTCTACACACCTGCCCTGCCTCTCTCCTTTGGTGCTGGTCCCTCCCCTGCAGGTGTCTGCCCTTCTGTTTTTTCCCACAGAATCCGCTGGCACCTGCACCCTCCTGGTGCCTCCCCCTTCCCTCACTGCCCCTGCCCTCTTTTCCCCTGATGCCCACCCCTCACCACCCTCTGCCCCTGTTCCCCTCATGCCCCTCTGTACCCTCACACGACTTGCTCCATCCCTACCTTCCTCATGCCCACCCCTTCTTTCAAGCCTTCTCCCAGCACCTCCCCCTCCAACCTGCAATGCCCTTCCCCTCTCAGCATCACCCTGTCCCCCCTCCCACTGACACCTCCCCTCCTTCCCTTTCTCTCATTGTCTGTACTTGGCCCCCTGCCCTTTGTCTCTCCTCCCCCC